TAACTTATTCTAGTCTTGATTCTACTCAGTAAGTTTTATCCAAAGACGTCAGAACATCAAAGGGTTTTTTCCAAATCTACGTAATTAGTTTCTAGCCAAAGACGTCAAAACATCAAAGGCGTTTATAAAGTCTATTCAATAATTTTTGCCCAAAGACGTCAGAACATCAAAGGGTTTTTTCCAAATCTACGTAATTAGTTTCTAGCCAAAGACGTCAAAACATCAAAGGCGTTTATAAAATCTATCCAATACCTTCTACTGATTTATTAAGCCTTAGCGTCGAAACACCATGGGCTTCTAAAAAAAAGACTTAGCGCTGGAGTAGTGATCTACTCACTTCGGTGTGCCGGTGCTAAGTGATCTTTCATATAAAATCTCCGCTATTTATATACGACACTTTGCTTTGCTTAAATGCACACACAACCGCACAAGTGTAATTCGCGGTTGGCTTTGTTTTGCTTGTCGTGTGTGCGTGTGTTCGCGGTTGGCTTCGTTTTGCGTGTCGTTTGTGCGTATGTTCGCGGTTGGCTTTGTTTTGCGTGTCGTTTGTGCGTATGTTCGCGGTTGGCTTTGTTTATTTGTTTAAATATATAAATCGAGTTTTATCCAGACGATTTTTAATAAAAAATAATAAGTTTTATGTAGGGCGGAATTTGTACAAAATTCCGTCCTTACATTTCCCTCCTTCTTCGGGGGATTTGAACTCGACTACTTCGTTGAATGGTTTCGTGTCCGCTTTCTAGGATTCCTAAAAACTTTGAGGAATTCATCTTGATGTGTACTGGTGTAATCCTGCTCACGTGGTACATCTGGACTTTGAGTTTTCGACTCTGTGTTGAGTTTTAAATTTCGCAGACGTGGTACATCTGGACTCTGACTTTTCGACTCTGGGATGAGTTTTATACTTCGCTGACGCGGTACTTTTGGACTCTGACTTTTCGACTCTGTGTTGAGTTTTAAACTTCGCTGACGCGGTACTTTTGGACTCTGACTTTTCGACTCTGTGTTGAGTTTTAAACTTCGCTGACGCGGTACTTCTGGACTCTGACTTTTCGACTCTGTGTTGAGTTTTGAATTTCGCTGACGCGGTACATCTGGACTCTGACTTTTCGACTCTGTGATGAGTTTTAAACTTCGCTGACGCGGTACATCTGGACTCTGACCTTTCGACTCTGTGATGAGTTTTAAATTTCGTAGACGTGGTACATCTGGACTCTGACTTTTCGACTCTGTGATGAGTTTTGAACTTCGCTGACGCGGTACATCTGGACTCTGACTTTTCGACTCTGTGATGAGTTTTAAATTTCGTAGACGCGGTACTTCTGGACTCTGACTTTTCGACTCTGTGATGAGTTTTAAACTTCGCTGACGCGGTACATCGGTACTCTGATTTTTCGACTCTGTGATGAGTTTTAAATTTCGCTGATGCGGTACATCTGGACTCTGACTTTTCGACTCTGTGATGAGTTTTGAACTTCGCTGACGCGGTGGTACTAAGCACCTACAAGGTGTCTGCTCTTGTGGATTTTCTTGCTGGGCTTTTAAATAATCTCGAGGTTGTACGCGTCGTGTCGTTATGCTTGACTTTGGTAGTGATGCTGAAGTCACATTTCCAGTTATAAATGCTGTTGCTTGCTTAGCGGTTGATTGGTTCTGAGGCTGATTACTTCGTTTCTGATCAGGAATGGACGACTCAAAGCTTAGACTATGGATAATTTTATCCCGTGCTGGCATATTGGGTATGCTTCTCATTGTATTTTGTACCACCATCGCTTGAGGGGACTCGACTATCATGCGCCCTACGTTCACTTCACGGACACGATTACGGCTCGCTTTATCCTGTTCTGTACTTAGTTCTTCGAAGTCATCGGCAAGTGTTGTTAATTCATTTAGGCTTGTAAACTCTGAACGTTTAATGTACATCCGGTAGTCTGCCTTCATGTTTCGATACACCCGCTCCAATTGCGAACCTGGATCCATGCCAGTGTGTCGCATTAGATTTATAATGTCAAG